TTGGTTCGAGTAGCTGACGGCCCCAAGGAGTTATGGGTTTCGGGTTATGTGAGTTGGAGCGATTGAACCAAACGCATTTGGGTGCAGAGGTTAGGGGTCCAATTTCTTATCCCGATCGCCCCGGCTATTGCCAAAGTGTTCAGTCGAACACCTTTGCATTTGGTGGGTGGGTGGGGGCACAATAAACAGCTTTGGAAGCGATTTTCGGGTTTATTTGATGTCCGATGCCGACTAAATGGGTTAGGATTGGGCTGTTTATTGTTCCGATCTTGACTAGTCTCAACCAGCGTGGGTCATGCTGTTAAACCAGGTAGGTGGTTATCGTGCCGTTCGACCAACATAGGAAGTGCCACAAACGCACCTGAAAGGGCGAAGACAATCGGCTCTGAGGTGTCCAATGACGAGCGTGGGTGAGATTCTAATTTTAGGTCTAATTAGAGAAATAAATTATACCTGTAACGCTCTCATGATCCACATTCTAAATAAGTATGTACTGTCCATGCTTGCCTCGTCATAGGTTATGCACTGTTTTGGATGCGGTTGTGGCACATCTTACTTTGGTCAAGTGGCACAATAACTACCTAACTGGTTTAACCAGCATTGCCCACGCTGGTAGGACAAAGTGGATTGGTAAGCATATTTAGTCGACAGTTCAGTTCAGTTCAGTTCAGTTCTTACAACCATGCGCTTTCGTGTGCCGGTTTTGGTTGCTTATTTGGATAAAACAGCAGAATGAAGAATAGAATATTCGAGTAGGAGCTGACTGCAACAGGCACCCCATCGGTGTCTTATCGAGCGAGCACTGGATATGATGACATGGCCGGACCAGGTTTGTTGACGTTGATTGTAAGCCACCAGCTACCAGAGCGTCTGCCATTTGCCATGTACGCACGATACAGTAGTTTGTCCGGGGTAGGCTGTAGGAAATCTAATCGATCTTAATCCGTAACTAAGTGTACAGTTTTCATCACTGCCATTTCCTTCGTACTCCACAGTTACGACTCAGCTTTCGTTAACTTCTGTCTTTCAAAGCTAAAAATTAGGCCAATGTATTCTTTCCCCTAGGTCTAGGGGAAATGTAGTCTCAATGGAATTCTAATCACTGTGTCATCGAGGGTATAGGTAGAATCAGCCCATGCAACAGTTCTTGACCACCTTCACATTGTAGCCATCGCATTATTGATTCAGTTTGTCACGGCACACTTTATGCAACCATTCGAGGTCAATGATTTTCGGGTTAGTTCATTTCCGTCTATGTTCAGTACCACGCCTAACCTATCGTGGCCTTATGTGGTTCGCCACTCCAAGTCCCGGGGCTTTGGTCGCCCGTTTCCACCACTGAACAGCGCTTCCTCGTCCCGTCTGCTGTTCAGTAAACTTCAGTGTGTATTTAAAAAGAATACGGCTCAATCGATCAACCCCAAAGACACCGTTTCCGAGGCTGGGGAAGGGAAGGTGACGAATTAACTGTCAGACCTCAACCATTCAAACTTGCATCCTCGCTCGGTAACTCATTCTCAAAACACTTGTTATTTCACGGAAAAATTAACGCTTTCGGACTGGACAGGGTTTAGACAGACACGGTCCAATTGGTGACGTTTGACGGCCGAAAAATTAATCATCTTGTTGAGTTCCCAGTGGAATGCGATTAGTTGGGTTCTCTTGAAGTTGAAAAGGTATACTTTAGTTTTT